TCTCTTGAGAAGGTCAATGTCACGTGGGGCAGGGAATGAGAGAACTGCTCTTTCAGCTTTCCTATTCATTTGAACATTTACTTAATAAAAAATTGGAAAAATATTTTATTGTCAATCATTAAAATCACTCTCTTCCCATGCATTCTCAACTCCCTTGACCCTCTCCTTACTTTGTCATACTTGCCTGGTAAAAATTCACCCCTGGCTAAATCCAACTCTTAGCTTACTCTGTGCTTACCCCTGACAGCTGAATGTGCCTGGGGTAAAAACCGCACATGCACATGTACACACACACACACACACACACACACACACACACAGGTCCCAGTTAAATTCAAGTGGATCCTTAGCGCAGCTGGCAATTCTCCATTTCCTCAAGTCCCTTCACTGCCACTGTTCTAGATGACTATTACAGCCCGACTTCTTGCTCCTCAAATACTCTACTTCCTCAGTCTCAGCTAAAGACTTTATTTCCTATTTTACTGAAGAAAAAGAAGAAACTAGAATCTCTGCAAGCTCCAACTATTAGGATCTGTGCTCATATTTTCAGACTTCCTAAACTTACTGTGGGTGAACTTCCATGTCCCTATTCAAGACCAACTCTACTCGTCACTTGGACCCCCTTGCCATCTCACCTAGCACACCCCTTTCTCTTCCATCAACAACTTTGCTTTGTAATCCATTATTGCCATCTCAACACACACTTTGTAAATTCTCCTATCTTAACAAAGGCTCCTTTGACCATACATCCTTTCTATTTCTTTGTCCCATTTCTCTGCTGCCTTTAAGACAAACTCCTTGGAACAGTTGTCTACATCTGCTGTCTGTAATTCTTTCCCCTCTTTCTGTACTATAGTCCTACTTTTGCCCCCAGCACTCCATTGAAACTGCTCTTTTCAAGGTCACCCATGACCTCCCTTTTGCTAAATGCAACACTCAAATCTCCTATTCACCAGGCACTCTCTGGCATGGTTGACAATTCCATCCCTTCTGATTTGCATTCATCACCTGGCTTTCAGACCTGTGCATGCTTCTGGTTTTCCCTTCTTTGGCTGTCCTTCTCAGCCTCCTTTTCTAGTTTCTGATTATGGTTGTGAGATGGGAGGGGGGTGGTCTAAAGACACAAACCTTCTTTTACAACATCCCACTCAGCTGTCTACTAGGCATGTCAAGTCAAAATATCCCAAATGGAATCCTTATTTCTCCCCATCCCACACTTGCTCCACTTATCTGAGGTAATGATACCTGCATTTTTCTAGGTACTAGAGGCAGAAATTATGCTGTCACCTTGATTCTTACACCCAACTTCCAATCTCTTAACACCTTACTGGCTTTGCCCTCAAAATATGCTTAGAATTTCACCTCTCATCCTATCACTTCTACTGTGCTGACGTGGACCAGCTACCCTCTCTTGCATAACTGCTCTCCGTACATTCATCCTTGTTCCTTTAGCACCTATTCTTAAAGAATGTAGGTAGAATGGAAGTAAAATGTGGGTAGAGAAGCCAGGAATGTGCTGAAACATGAATGAGTCAGATATGTCACTCTTCTGCTCAAACTCTTCAAAGGCTTCCCATCTCATGCAGGATAAAATTCAGAGTTGTTACAACGGCCAACAAGGCCCAGCATGACTGGGTATCTTAATACCTCTCTAATGTCATCACCACTATTCTTCCTGTAGCCACACTGGTATCCTTGGTGTTCCTTGAATATTTCAGACAGGCTCCCACCTCAGTGACTTTGCACTTGTTCTTCCTTTCATCCAGAATGCTTTTCCTCTACATCTCTGCATGACTCACTCCCTCACTTCCTTTAGGTCTTTATTCAAATGCTATCTTCTCAGTGAGGCCATTCTTAACTGCCTGCAACTGGTCCTCCCCACTTTAGTCTCCTATATAGCTCATATCTACCTGATGAGCAACCACCTTGGTTTGCTTGGGACTGTCCCAGTTTTAGCATTAAAAGTCCCACATCCTGTGAAACCCCCTAGTCCCAGGCATACCAAGACATTAGGTCACTCTACTCCTATACTATATGTTTTACTCATCTGTTGTTGGTATATTAACAACACAACAATATACTTCTCCACGAGAGTAAGGATATTTGACTGATCTGCTCATGACATCCCATGTACATAGTTAAGTTCTCAATAAATATTTATTTAGTGAATGGGAGCCAATAATAATTATATGTTAGGATCATCCAGTGCTTAATATATAGTAAATTCTCAATAAATGTATGTTGAAAGAATACATGAATGCATTCCCTATAAATGTACACATGATTAAAACAGATATACAAATATAATCCTAATTAGTATGTTAATTACTAACAAGTATGCAAAAATAACCCTAATTAGTATGTTAATTGCTAACTCTCTTTAATGGATGCTACCTATAGTCTTTTTTTTTTATTCGTTACTAAAACTAGTATATACACACAACACACAGTGTCATGTACAGTATCTGTAGACCCTTAAGAGCTCACCTGCCTCATCTACTGATGATGAGATGAACTTTCTCCCAAAACTCCCAGCTGCTCAGGCAACATCCTGGCAGCACTCTAGCCTGACCTTCCCGCCCCACCCCCCCAAACCCCCTCTGTCCCCTGCCTGTGAAGTTCTGTAGCCCCCACCACTTTGGGATGATGTTGGTAGGGAAAGTTGGACCATAATCTCTACTCAGTTGTAATGACTGCAGATCTTAAACTTTTCAAAAGAAAAAACCTGGCAAACTACTCAACTAAAAATAAAAAGCTTTCTGAGGTCCAGTGGGGTATTTTCAAGAGGCACGGGTAGTTCTGGAAGGGACCTGAAGAACAGGCAAGGGGAGGAGATGGGGACAAACATGTCCTATTCCTGCAGGGAGCTCAGCCCTTAACAACAAAATTGAGCGGTTCAGAGGCAATTAAAGAGAACACAAAGACTCCAACCAGTGAAGAGCCTGTGAGGGCAGGATGAGGAGAGAACTGGGAGAGCTGGGGGAAGGGCGGGATGGGTTGTGTACTCATCTAGAGCATGAATCAGCATCTGAATTGGTCAGGGTCGCGAAGGTGACTTTCTTAATGAAGACAGGAGAGCAGTCCGATGCCACCTTGCACTGTCACTGAAGGATCCTACTTCAGGAATGGCTTTGGGCTTCCAGGATTGGATCTTGTGATCCAAATGTGTAGTATGTGTTCTGGTCCTCTGGTCCTTTGTCCCATTCTTCACTCCAGTTCTTATCTTATACTACCACCACTTGAGCTAGACTGAAGGGTAAGTTGATCAGAGGAAAGCACTCCAACCCTGCTTAGCTGCTGCCCAACCCCAAGGCAAGGTCCCCTGGTGCTAGCAGCTGCTTACCTGTTCTCCTGCCTCAGACTCTGCAGCACATTGGCATTACTTGGGGAGCTCTACAAATACCTGTTGCCCAGGTTCCACCCCCCCCTCAAGAGATTCTGAAAGCTGGGGTGTGCCCTGGGCATTGGGATGTTTAAAAGCTCCCTGGGTGACTTTAATGTGCAGCCTGGGTGAGAACCACTGCTTTACGTCCTGAGCTGTAGGTTAAATACCCTGCGGGTCACTTCACCTGTCTGCTGAGAAGGGCTGGAAGCCAACTAGCTATGCCGGTGGATGAAAGAACAGGGCCAAACATCCCAAGCCCCGAAGCCCTTGTGTCATCAGTCCCAGGACATTTTGAGACATTTTGAGGACATTTTGAGACATTTCAAGACTGTAGGCCATTGCTAATGTAAAGTATTAATTTCTAAAACCTATATCCTGGCTGACCAGAGTAGCCCAGAGAAGTAAACCCAACAATAATTATTGGTCCCCACTCCCTTCTGTGTTATTTGGTTCAAAGAATTGACCTTTGAGATTACCATGGTATTTTATGAAATAATGCATGTAGTCTTGGCTTGAAAGAAATCACTGTAGTTTCCAGAAATGCTTCACTTACTTCTGAGTAACAGTTTATATATCTGGACAAAAATTCTAATGGATCAGTAAAACCCTAGTTTTACTGTCAGGGAATATAAAAACTTATCAATGACACAGTGTTGGAGTATAACATTGTGAAATATCCAGTGAAGATAGCTGAAAGTCTAGTGGAATGTGCTCTCTATTTTCTATGATCAGTAAATAAGAAAACTAGTATTTCACAAAGCTAGATCTCTACAGTCAATGCCTATTTGATTAACCCCGGATGAATTCAATCTGCTAAATTTATCCAGAAAATATAACAAATCATTTTTTAAAAATAAGAAATATTCCTGATTTATTTAAGGTCACTCAGCTGAGACACTGGACAACAGTCATAAATAGAATAGGAGCATAAGAATGACATCTTTTTCCAGGTCGTCTGGGTGGCTCAGTGGGTTAAGGCCTCTGCCTTCGGCTCAGGTCATGATCCCAGGGTCCTGGGATCAAGCCCCATGTCGGGCTCTCTGCTCAGCGGGGAGCCTGCTTCCCCCTCTCTCTCTGCCTGCCTCTCTGCCAACTTGCGATCTTTGTCAAATAAATTAAAAAAAAAAAATTAAAAAAAAAAAAGACATCTTTTTCTACTGTTTCCGCTTCTAGAGGTGCTCCAGAGCCTGCCATTAGAAGCACATTAGCAAATTGATGCAGATTCCTTTCTCTCGAGGGTTTGGTTTTATTTTGTTTTAACTGCTTGCTTACAGCAATTAGACCAAAATCTTAGGAAAGCAGAAAAGATAATGCCTCTCCCTAAAGTATGTCTTGTCAAACTCAAATCCTTTGGATTCTAAGTTTCCATTCACTGCTCAGAGAAATTTCAAATAGTTTCCCAGCTTTCCAGAGTTCTTTATCTATGTACCTTTGGGTTTAGGCAAAACTCAAGCATTCCACTTCTATATAGGATTAGATTTTTTTTTTTTTTACCTGGGAAGTAAAAACACAGCCTTAGCAACAAAAGCGTCAAGATATCAAAATAAGTTTGTTACTTAATAGGAAAAACACAGCCTTGGTTTTAAAAATTTGTCTCTGATTATAACAGACTCACTTGCTAATAACGAGTGTTTCCTCTCCACATATCCAGACTCTCATGAACTCTCCATACATCTTGTTGTAGTAGTTGCAGGCACTGCCGATGCCCATCCACAGGAACCTGCAGTGGGAAATGAGGGGCCCGATCCCCATACAATAGCCAGGACCTAGAAGAGTCATCAGACCACAGTCAGCATTTTAGCAGACACCAAAAAAGAGCAACCGCTTTATGTTATTTCTGCTTGTGTTCTTTTATATCTGAAAGGTCTTTGATATCTTCCAGTGTATATCTGTGAATCACTAAACAAAGAAACAAGCTTAACATGAAAAAAGAGTAGTTCAGTGTCTATACCACAGTAGTTCCATTTGGTCTCCATCATTTTGACCTGAATGAACCAGGGTAGGGGTCTACTATTTTCTTGCCATGTTAAACAATGTCAGTGAGTTTTAAATACAAGTCAGTCAGTCCATCTAGTTCCAAGCACGGAGACCAGGACATGCGACAAGCTGACTGATCTGTTTGGCTGTCTAGTTTTGTCTGAAAACTTTCGATTTGAATGCCCAGCTGATGGAATGGGTGGGTTAAAATTAGATTGTAGTTTTGGTGTAAACTTTTTAACCATTCATTTTTTTTTAACCATTCATTTTTTTTTCCTTCAAAAAGGATTCCGTTTGAGAGAAGAATCCTAAGCTAAATTTCATTATGCAAATAATACAGCTAAGCATTGAGGAATTAGTCAATGAGTCCAATTAGAGTCTGGACTAGAATTTGGTCCAGTGATGTGGTTTTACTCAAGAGAAGTGACTGTTCATGTCCTTGCTTACATTAAAAATGGAGAAATTTGCTATTGCTTAGACCAGAGAACAAACTTGCTAGCTTGATTTTACTGGTGGCAGTAAAAAGTTAGACAGAAACTTCTTGGAATGGTTTTAGGAGTTTTCCTGGGAATAGTAGCTTTTCTACATCAAATCTTTCTCCTTTAATTCCATTCCAGTAGTAAAATAGGAAACCAACATGCACAATGGTTTGAGACAGTATTCTCATTCCAGGGGCAAGCACTGTGTAAATAAATCTGGATAATCTAAGCTTCTGCTTAAATTATCTAAATTAGATCTTAATTCTGCTTAAATTATCTAAATTAGATCTTAATTCCCAAATTTGGCAAATACGATTTAGTCTTTTGCAATCGCTGGATTAATGGGGATAAGACTGTCAGGTTTTTTTCTTTAGAGTGAAGGTCTTTTAGGACGCCTGGGTGGCTCAGTCGTTAAGTGTCTGCCTTCAGCTCAGGTCATGATCCCAGGGTCCTGGGATTGAGTTCAGCATCGGGCTCCTTGCTCAGCAGGGAGTTTGTTTCTCCTTCTGCCTGCTGCTCCCCCTGCTTGTGCTCACTCTCTCTCTTTCTCTCTGACAAATAAATAAATAAAATCTTTGAAGTGAAGGTCTTTGGTAGTATCTATAGAATCAAAACATTTTCAAAAGGTTCTTCTTAATCTTCTGATTGTTCTGATAATACTGTATTATAAGAAGATGACTGACTTTATATTAAATAATTTCATTAAGTTCTTTAAAAGATTGAAAAAAGCAAATTTGAATATGTATTTCCTTAAAGGTCATCAGATATATAGATCTCTAATCAACTAAAATGTACGTAACAATAAACTACTCTGCTGGTGTTTACAGCTTGAAACATTGTAGATGTGTAGTAAGTGTTCCCTGGTGAATTTTTTAAATTAATTAGAAATGGGTGTATAATGTAAAGGATGAAGTTTTAAGTGTCATCCTCATTTAGAGTATTTTAGGTAGTATTTACATTTTGATAAAATGGAAAAATATTGTTGTGTCATGTACATTTAGTCCACGGGAGGTCAGACATCTGGCTATTTGAAAATAGATTCATTCAACAAACATTTACTTACTTAATATGCTAGGCCCACGAGGTACAAAGACATACAAATGAAAAGCTGCACTCTTCCTTTTTATAATCTAACAGTTGGGTGCCATGTAGATAGTTTTAATATTAGGGAACCACCATTCGAGTTTAAAATATGACAGTGCAGATCTCTATCCACTGAAAAAGGGAGATGACAATGAGCTTTGCTGAGGTTGAAAACCTGAATGTTCTAACCAGAGGAGAATCCGAGTCTGGGGTCCCTAGTGATCAGTCACGTGTCAGCTTAAGTCATCCAACAAACAACTTACTGAGACTTTGCTAGGTAAAGACCCTAGCTACAAGTCAGAGGCCAGAGATGAGCGATATGCATAACTAGGTTCCCATCAGAGTCCCGGCCAGGAGAGGAGAGTATGTGAGGAGAAAGTACAATATTGAATTATTATAACACAGTGTGACCCTTTCATTTACATGTATATCTTAAATCCTCCATCTGAGAAAAGACTGTTCTAGGAGGGGAGAGACTTTGGTATGATATTTAGGAAATACTTTGTTTGCAATCACCTTAAGCTGCTCTCCGCCTGTCGGATTTGGGAAGGCTGATCTAGGCCTGCAGTGATTTCGGGAGGCTCTTCCATACCCAAAGAGGAGCAATGAATACTACACTGCGTGTTTGTGCAGAAATAGCCTCCCGGAAGCCAACAGCTGGGACTTCTCACCCACTGTCCTAATGCAGAAGGTGTTGCATTCCAGGCTATATGTACGCCCCAGAGAAACCTGTGCATGGGAAGGTCCATAGCAGCACTGCTCACAATAGTCTCAAACTGGAGCCAGTTTGAGAACAGTATCATCAGTAACTAAACCATGAGATGTGTGTGCTACTGCATACCATGCGAGCTATAGTGGCATGTCACAATGTGGATGAAGTTTCCAAACACAATACTGAGCAAAAGAAGAATATAGAAGTAACATAGGACTTAATTGCTAAAACAGTTAAAAGTAACAGGCAAAATTAATCTGTATTATTTGGGGATATGAGATTAGGTGGCAAAATTATAAAAAGCAAGGGAGTGATTATCACAAGACAGAAGAATGTTTATCTCTGGAAGTGAGAGAGGAGGCCCAAGAGAAGTTTCTGGGATGCTAACACCCTGTTTCTTGTCTTGTGTTGTGGTGATATATTTATTTGTGCACTTTTCTTAGTGGGAGAAAGGGAAATGTGTGGCCATGTCCTTTTCCCAGTGCCATCCTCTGGGGACATGGTGCCCAGGGCAGAGAGAGGCTCTGGGGAAGTGGACCCAGATGCAGGTTCAGGGATGGCTCAAGAGACTTAGCTCTGAGTTCCAGTTTCATCGCTTACTAGCTACGCACCATTGACCCTCTTTAATCTGTTTCTTTATCTGCAAAATAGGCATAAACACACCTACCTCACCAGAGTGCTATGAGGATCACAAGAGAAAAATGAATGTGAAACTGCTTTGTAAATTGTAACTAACTTAAGTGTTTTTAAATTATTACACCTTCTTAATCCCCTTGACTTTCCCTGACCCTAAGCTTCCCCCAAACCTGTAAAACCAAGAACCCAGAGAACCAGTGATTTGAGGAAACTACCAAAAGGAGTTCAGGAAGAACCACCCCAACAAAGCCAATTTTCCCACTTTTCCTTCCCCCGCTGGGCACCATGGGACCTTAGTCTGTGTCATGAGTGGATTCTGACCAGAGCTCACATTTCCTAAGGGAAAGCATGGGACTAGAAGATTCCCGGCTAGCAAAATGATCACTAAGCTGAAATTTAGGAATTCCTGGTTACACCCCTGCCCCTCAACTCCCACTTCCTTTCAAGCTGAGATACTGACAAGCCATTTCCTTTTTGGGGGCTTTAACCCCTCACTGAAGGGTTTGAACTCAGTGGTTTATTTCTCATAATTGTTTGGGTAAGGCCGTTCACTTCTCTGGGGCTCAGTTTCCCCTTCTGTCAAGTGAAGGGGTTGGGCTCATATCTATGGCTCTCAATTCTGACTGCTAATGAAAAAAATCACTTGGGAAGGTTTTTTAAATTTTTATTTTATTTATTTTTTTTTTAGCTGGGGGTCATGGTACAGAGGGAGAAGGAGAGAGAGAATCTTAAGCAGGCTCCAAGCCTAGCATGGTGCCCAGTGCGGGCCAGGCGGGCTCTATCTCATGACCCCGAGGTCATGAACTGAGTTAAAATCAAGAGTCAGACCCTCAAGCAGCTGAGCCACCCAGGCATCCCAGATTTTTTTTAATATCACCATGCAGGCCCTGCTCCAGACATGGCGGAGAACCATAGTACAATTAGTGTATGACAGCATGATGTCCCCAGCGCAGGAATGGTAGACACACTGAGCTGTCATGTAGGCTCCTGATCTAAAGCTCCAGGGGTGCCGGTTCTTGTGCTTGCCCCCCATAGCCTGACCTCCTTTTTCAAAGATCCAGGGACGACTTCTAACACTTGCAACATAAATGTCTGGGGGGACTTGCTAAAAAATACTCTCCACCTCACCTATCATTCACAGATCCTGACTTGGGAGCCCACTGTGGGAGAAGTCCAGTGAGGAAGGGGCTGTTGTGGGAAGGAGCCCAAGTTAAAGGCCATGAAAGAGTCTTCTCTCAGAACCCTCAGGGAGCAGAGAACAGCATTAACTGAGTGCTCTGTTTAAGTGGGCATGAAAGCCCCCTACAACACCAGGCTAAATCAGATCAACAGGACACACAGTTCTCTGGAAAGGTTTGGAAGAACCAGACATGGGGCACTTGGCATCAGCTTCACATTCCTACATTTAGTCGCTCTGTGATGAGGCCCACTGCACTTGGAAGTGCGTAATGACTATGCTCTTGAAGTAAAGCCTTGTTGGTTATCTCATGAAACTGGGGATTGATGCCTGCCCTGAACAATTTTCACTGAACACCAGAGAAATATTTGAATAGTTCTGATAACTCTGAATTAATCTGATAGTGTGGAGTGGTAGCAGTTTCTTTTGGAGTTATCTGCATAATTATATGACACCCTATGTTTGGTTATCCACAGATCTTGTTGATGATTCTTTCAGGGTATGATGTTCTAAGGGAACCATAGTGGTCCCTATTTTTCTTCCATTGCCCAGGACCCAGCCAACTCTTATGGTGGCACCACCATCACACCTACCCCCAAGACTAAGAGGAAATGTGGGATGAAGGAGAAAGAAAGAGTGGGATGAAGAGAGGAAATAAGTTCAAAAAAGGAAGAGGGCAGAGCGCATGGATGAGGCAAAGCAAGAGGGAGAAGGAGAGGGGTATAAGAAGCATTCCAGGTGAGCCTGGCTGGCTCAGAGGAGCCTGGCTGGTCAGAGGAGCACATGACTCTTGATCTCTAGGTTGTGAGCTCAAGCCCTACACTGGATGTAGAGATTACTTAAAAATAAAATCTTTAAAAAAAGAAGGCATTCCAGAGACATTTTCACCTCCAGAGCAACACTGGAATGAGTTTGAATTTAAAAAAAAATTCCTGGTTTACCTTGCTTCACCCCATCTCAAACTTACTTTTTTTTTTTTTCCATCTTTTTTTTTCAAACTTACTTGAAAGGATACTTCTGCCAAGTCTACTTTACCAAAGCAAAGCACAGACTGGAAGGGATTATCTAAGATTTTTTTTTTTTTCAAATGCTTTCATTTGAAAAGTGCAGGTAATTGGTGTAAAATTTTTCACCTGAGTTTTTATTTGCTAACATTGCTATGGGCTTCTGACATTTCCCCATGTTTGCTTTTGTCCTTTTGTAAAATTTTCCTTACCCTCATGGACCGAGAGCCCCAAGTAAACAATCTCCTTAGTTACAGAACTAAATGACTGACTCACCTGGTATTGAGGATGTGTCTTCATAATTCCAAACCAAAAGAAGAAAGCCAGTGAGCAACAGCATCAGCATGGTGGCCACAGGCATGACTTCGGGCATCATGCTGGTGATGTTATAATGCATTGGGTTCAGCATTTCCCAAACCATTCTTTGTTCCTGGATCTCAGGAGAAAAAACTTAAAGTCCTGTGGAAATTAGAGAAGCGCAAAAAAAAAAAAAAAATTAGAGAATCCCCGAAAGGTTACATCCAAGACTCCCGTTGCTTCTTCAGAGGATGCTGTAGTGCAGAAATCAGCATTTGTTTTATAAAGTGATTGGACACCCAGACAAGATAAACTTGTGGTTACAAGTCAAAACAAGCCAAAGAGAGATCTTTTGGCTTCAAGTGCAGCATTTCTGACCTTGGTAGAGTCTCAGGTTTGTTTAGACACTTGGTTTGATAGAACCTTATCATCTTGCCCTTGAGTGGGTAGAGTGGCTGAATTCCCAATTGAGAATCAAATTTCTTACCAAAATATAAGAAAATGAAGCTCGTTCCAGAGGTAGAGCCATTCTGTGACTTCATTAATAGATACTGCTTAGGCAATCTTTTTCTCTTGACATCAAATCAGTTTTTTAAAAAACCTCTAACCCCCTTCCTTGCTCAAAATTCCTTCCCCCAAAGAGTGAGCTTCCCTAGCAAGAATTGTTGCTTGGGCATTGTCGAGGTATCCTCATTGCCTCCTGTTGGGTTGTTTCTTGAATTCAGTGTGACTCAGGATGATCTTTCTCTATTGGCTTTAATAAGGCTTAAAATCTCTTGCACCACAGGTGGATGAAACAGTGTCCATGTGGGCCAATGTCAGAGACAGCAGGAGAGAAGAATAAGAGAGGGAGAATCAAGGAAGAGGAGAAAGAGAAGGAATGGAGAGGAGGGAGAAAAGAAAGGACAGAAAGAGTAGAATGCTGTCCACAATAGGCTCAGGTCCCACTTGTGCTTTGCCCACAGCAGCTAACCTCCTATGCAAGGTAACTTTCAATTTGATTTGGCTGGTTCTGTTGTGTTTCTCAACAATGTAATGTTGAGTCTGTCTCTTCAGTAGGGTTTTCTAAGACCAATACTCACAGAGGAGAGCTTCAGGGATAGTGGTTTGTTGAAGAACCTAGACTGAATAAACTTGCATAACAAGGCAAGAGCCACCATTCAGTGTGGTTCTGATGGCCCATGACTGCTCTGAGGATTACCCTCCCTTGGAAAGTGACCTGAGTTTGCAAGACTTGTAATGGCTCTGAAACAGTTTTTGGCAGGATTTTATCTAGGAATAGTTCTAGATTCTTTTTTTTTTTTTAAAGATTTTATTTATTTGAAAGAGAGAGGGATCACAAGTAGAGAGAGAGAGAGAGAGAGAGAGAGGAGGAAGCAGGCTCCCTGCCTAGCAGAGAGCCCGATGTAGGACTCGATCCCAGAACCCCGAGATCAGGACCTGAGCCAAAGGCAGAGGCTTAACCCACTGAGCCACCCAGGCAGGCCCTAGTTGTAGATTCTTAACCACATCTTCTGATTGGATTATGGATGTTCTGTGAACTCCCTGAAATGCTACATGAAGTGTTGTATCTCCTCACCTGAACTTTTAGAAGGAAAGAACTTTCATCAGATTTTTAAAGAGTACGTAGTTACGTTTCTCCCCTGATCTATATGAGATTTCATTTTATTTATTTTTTAAAATTTATTTGACCAGGGGTCGGGGGGGACACAAGCAGGGGTATTAGCAGGCAGAGAGAGAAGGAGAAGCAGACTCCCCGCTGAGCAGGGAGTCTGATGTGGGGCTCAATCCCAGGACTCTGGGATCATGACCTGAGCCAAAGGCAGAGGCTCAAACCACTTACCTACCCAGGCACCCCTCAATCTATATGAGATCTTAAATATCCAGTTAAAAACCCATTTCTGGAAATTAGAGAAATTTCATAATATAGTTGAATTTATTCACTTGCTTGATTCATACTATTGATTCATTCTATTATTGCACCATTTAAATAATTATTTTTTAAAATATTTTATTTATTTATTTGACAGAGATCACAAGTAGACAGAGAGGCAGGCAGTGGGGGTGGTGGGAAACAGGCTCCCTGCTGTGCAGAGAGCCCCATGCAGGGCTCAATCCCAGGACCCTGAGATCATGACCTGAGCTGAAAGCAGAAGCTTAACCTGCTGAGCCACCCAGGCACCCCATTTAAATAATAATTAACAGTTAAGTGCAAGGCATTAAATGCCTGTATGTATATTGGGCAATTTGGGTGGTTTGTTTGTTGGTTTGTTTGTTTAAAGATTTTATTTATTTGACAGACAGAGATCACAAGTAGGCAGAGAGGCAGGCAGAGAGAGACAGGAGGAGGCAGGCTCCCTGCTGAGCAGAGAGCCCGATGCGGGACTCGATCCCAGGACCCTGAGATCATGACCTGAGCCGAAGGCAGCGGCTTAACCCACTGAGCCACCCAGGTGCCCCCAATTTGGGTGTTTTTAAATGTATATAAGATGAGGCTGAAAAGTCAGAAGTGTGTCTGTTATCATCTGGTTCCTTTGTTAACGAGAAGCTGCTTTGAAACAGGTTGAATTTTAGGTTTTGAATTTCCAGTGTGGAATTTTACAACATTCTGAATAAGCTCCCTGTGACTTTATGACAGCCAGGACCTTCAAGGTTTCTGTTGATATTAATGAAACCTGAACCCAGTGTTAAAAGTGTAAGTGAAGGGGCGCCTTGATGGCTCGGTCACTTAAGCTTCTGCCTTCGGCTCAGATCGAGATCCCAGAGTCCTGGGATCCAGTCCCATTGAGCTCCCTACTGAGTGGGGAGTCTTTCTCTCCTCTCCTGCTCCTCTTCCTGCTCGTGCTCTATCTCCATCTCTTCCTTTCTCTCAAATAAATAAAATCTTTTAAAAAAATTTTTAGTGTATTATGTATTGGGTCTTACTATTTTTTTCACTTCCATATACAGTTAAAACCTGTAGTGTGAAAGTTTTTAATGATTCAACAAAAATTTAAAAGGTCATAGAACACTTATGTTCTTTTCTCTCGATTTGTAAAAAGATTTTATTTATTTATTTTTATTTTAAAATTAACATATAATGTATTATTTGTTTCAGGGGTAGAGGTCTGTGATTCACCAGTCTTACACGATTCACAGTGCTCACCATAGTACACAGTGCCCATCACCCTACCACCCCAGCAGTTCCACTCCCCTCCACTCCAGCAGCCGTCACCTGAGATTGAGTCTCTTAATGTTTGTCTCCCTCTCTGGTTTCATCTTGTTTCGTTTTTCCCTCCCTTTCCCTATGATCCTCTGTCTTGTTTCTCAAATTCCTCGTATCGGTGAAATCATATGATAATTGTCTTTCTATGATTGACTTATTTCGCTTAGCGTAATACTCTCTAGTTCCATCCACATCATTGCAAGTAGGAAAATTTCATTTTTTGAATGCTGCATTGTGTTCCATTTTGTGTGTATGTATGTAGTGTGTGTGTGTGTGTGTGTGTGTGTGTGTGTATATATATATATATATATATGGAAAGAACCCAGATGTCCATCAGTAAATGAATGGATAAAGATGTGAGATGTATATCCATTCATTTACTGATGGACATCTGGGTTCTTTCCATAGTTTGGCTATTGTGGACATT